ATCTGTAAAGTTGCAAAGACTAAAGTCTCAAATCCAAAGAGATATTCTTTATAAAAGAAAGTCATATATAAGAAAGTCATATAAGAAATATATAAGCAAAATAATGATCTTTAAAATAGCATCATATGACCCCTTTAAAATATGTATAGTTCTGCAGTATGCTTGCTCGACAGTTGGTACTGATTATTTGCACAGTATTCGCACAAGTGACTACAGCGGAATGTATCATTGACCTTTGCTGCGATGTCGGGTTAATATTTAAACTCCTAAGGTGAGGTGCAGTGGAATTATGAACTCTCATTTTCTTGCATGCTTCATGAATGTGGCTTTTCTCGCAGGAAAGAATTGGGACCTCTCGGCTGCGCTGAGTGACTTTGAACAGCTGAGACAAGTGCACGCTGGGAACCTCTCATGCACCTTTGCTGAGGAGAGAGAATATCCCTCCATTGAGCGGATAGGGCGGCCCCTCTTGCATCGCCAAGATGAGGTTGTGCAAGGTACAAAAGCACTAGAAGGTCTGTCTGCATGGCCTGACCTTAATTCTCAAATGTGTTTCATAATTTATGTAAATGACTTACCCTGATCATGACAGCAGTTGCATATGATGTCATTTCAAAGCCTTGCCCACTCTCATCTGACTAACGTTTTCGAATTGAAGGGAGTGGAGGACTGATAAGAATAGGTCGACCAGATGATAGGTTACCAGTGTCTAGTTTCATATTCTCCAGTATACGCTGTAATCTGAACATGTATCATGGCAGCAGCCACAGAGAAGCGACTGTCGAGGGGAATCTCTCACGCCAGCTCCACCATCGTCTCTCTGGCCCGCTCGCACGTGTCCAGTACGGACGGCAGCAGTGAGCCGCTTCTGGACACTCCGCTCTGCACCTTCCAGTTGCCTGACCTCACAGTCTACAGAGACGACTTCCGCGGCTTCATCGAGAGAGACCTCATTGAGCAGTCCATGATGGTGGCACTGGAGCACGCTGGTTAGTCATTTAATTTCAAGAATCTCTAAACCAAATATTTTGATATTATGAGTTTTATAGTCCGATATTTCTAACATAACGTTATGGTTAGCTGCTTTATTCTCTACTGCCTACATAAGCATCCTGACTAAAATGTAACTTCATAAGTGACTGATTTGAAATGCCCTACATAGGCAGCATATAGTGCTTCTCATGTGACGCACACAGGAGTTTGCCATTAGAGTGATACTCTAATGAGCTTAAAGATACACAGCACACACAAATAATGTGTAAGTAGTCTTTTTTTAAATTAGATTTGGCTCTTGAATTAATTATTAATAAAGTATTTTTATGATTGATATTTCACTTGGTCCACCACTGCCCTTCCAGTGCTGCCTACACAGGTAGCTCACTAGGTTTTGGAAGTAGAGACATAAGCTGCGTCCATAGTCGCATACTCTCTGAATAGGTGGTACTTTTGAACGAGTAATTACTTTGTGACCATTAAAAAAAAAAACAATGTTCTCTATATAGTATGAATGTAATCCGGACATACTACTTTTGTTATGATGTCATTGTCATGTGAACTACCAGCATCAATTGCATCACTTCACTGTGCCACTTCACAACTCCTCTCCCTTGGCCTCATGGGATGGTAAAGTGTCAACTGGATGCGCACTTGAGAATCTCACCAGAAAAATTCTGTTTACTGTTTTATGAATACTGTGAATTTGGTCTCTGTTTGCATACTGTTTTTGCCTACTATATTACAGGGAAGTATGTGATATTTTTTTTTATGCAGCCATAGAAAGACTTAAGAAGTATTGTAATGTCTGTAGCCACAGATTTGAGAATTAATTGTCATAACCTTGCCCCCCCCACAACAGGACGGTTGAACTGGTGGACTCGTTTGGGGACTGGCTGTCAGAGTTTATTACCTCTGGCTACTAGTGGTGATGGAAACTGTCTGTTACACGCTGCCTCACTGGGTAAGTGTTCAAACAGACTTTTTGTATGCAAGCGATCAGCACAGAACATATGAGTTTTTATACATATTCATTCCACGTTATCGCTTTCTGAGAGTTCGTTGGTGTTAAAATTAGCTAGAAGTTTATTGGCTAAAAGGTCATTTATTCTTCCTGTGAATTAATGTGTTATTGAAAATAGATGCTTATTGGAGTGGCATAGAGTTCTATACAGGAGCTTTTTTACTGCGTTACATTTGTAGTGTAACTATTATTTCCAAAGCAACAGTAAAAGGACTGCATACTTGCCTAGAAACCACTGCCAGATTAAGATATTAATTCAGTAATTATGTTTAAAACATTAAACATTACTATGCAGGTATGTGGGGCTTTCATGATCGAGACCTGATGCTGCGGAAGTCTCTCTATGCACTGATGGATCATGGGCAGGAGAGGGAGGCTTTAAAGCGAAGGTGGAGATGGCAACAAACCATGCAGAACAAAGAGGTTAGAGCACTTTATCTATTGGTTCATTTTGTACAAACAGATGGCCACAGATAACGCTAGTCAATTTAGTATCAGGCTTCAAGTAAAATATACACACCATTCAAAATTATTTGTTTACATTTTTTTTAAAGAAATTAATACTTTTGTTTACAAAATAAACAAAAAATGATAAAGGCATTTATAATGGTATAAACAATTTCTATTTTAAATAAATGCTGTTGGTTTGAACTTTCTATTTACCAAAGAATTCTGAAAAAAAGCATCAGTTTCCACAAAAATGTTAAGCAACGCAACTGATTTCAACATTGATACTAATTAGAAATGAACAAAACCTGCACAAATTTGGCCTTGGTTTTAGCCTAATGATGTTTATGTGTGTGGATTTGTGTGCAGTCGGGACTGGTTTACACGGAGGAAGAGTGGCAGAAAGAGTGGAATGAGTTATTGAAACTGGCATCTAGTGAACCCAGGATACACTACAGCACCAACGGCAGCAACAGGTGTGTTGATTACGTCTGATTTTATTTTCTACATTGAAAGCTGTTAACCGAGGTTTTCTGGAGTGTTTTGCCCGGAAGACTGGAGTAATGATGCTGAAAATTCAGCTTTGACATCACAGGCTTAAATTACATTTTAAAATATAATAAATAGAAAACAATTCTTTCAAAATGCAACATTTCACAACATTACTGTTTTTACTGTATTTTTGATCAAATTATTTTTTTTTTCAACGACCAGATAAATGCAACTTTTCAAAAATATATATATATAAAAAAATAAAAAAAAAGTTACCATCCCCAAACTTTTGAACAGTAGTGTAATTAGGAAAATTAGAAAATCTGCACAAGTTGGTCTTTGTTTCAGCCTAATATTTGTGTGTATGGATTTGTGTGCAGTCGGGACTGGTTTACACAGAGGAAGAGTGGCAGAAAGAGTGGAATGAGTTGTTGAAACTGGCATCCAGTGAACCCAGGATACACTACAGCACTAACGACAGCAACGGGTGTGTTGATTGCATCTGATTTTATTTTCTGCTTTGAAAGCTGTAAACAGAGGTATTCTGGAGTGTTTTGCTCATGCTGTGAGAGTGTGTTTTGTGTCCCGCAGTGCCGAGTCACAGGAGGAGCCGGTGTACGAGAGCCTGGAGGAGTTTCATGTGTTCGTTCTTGCTCATGTGCTCCGCAGGCCGATAGTGGTGGTGGCTGACACCATGCTGCGGGACTCTGGGGGAGAAGGTAAATAAGGACAAAATATTCATTTTACGGGAGTTTGACACACTTTGAGGTACTCTAACATTCACAACTCAAAACTGCCTTCCTTGTCTATTGAAGCCTAGTTGCAAAAATGACTCGATATCTTCATGGTTATAATGTATGACTATGACTAAAGCAGAAAAATGCAGTGGCACAAAAAAGTGTTGACTATGTCCTCTTTAAATAATGCATTTTCCATTTGTCTTCTCTTGTTCCATAAGCAAAGGTTATCTTTTTTGTCTGTTGTTTAGCTTTTGCACCAATCCCATTTGGAGGGATTTACCTGCCCCTGGAAGTACAAGCCAACAAGTGCCACAGCTCCCCTCTCGTTCTGGCATATGACCAGGCCCATTTCTCTGCCCTGGTCTCAATGGAGCAGAAAGACCGTTCCAAAGAACAAGGTGAGGAGTGGTTTATATATAGCAAATCTGTTTGCTTTTTATGGTGATTGCTGTGTGCTGTTCTTGCTTGATAAACCAGTTTTTCAAAGCAAGACAGAACAAAATCTGCAATAATTTGTCATTTCCAGAAAGTCTTTATCCACTTGAATCCAGCTTATTTCTTCAAAGGCCTTTGGGACTGTAGTCTTGGAGTTCATTTGAATACTGTTCTGTGTTTGTAAATAAGCCAAATTAGTTGTGTAATTCGGAATGGTACTGACCATTTGTTACCTTTTGTTTGGTAAAAACCTCCGCAGTGGTGATCCCTCTTACGGACTCAGATCATAAGATGTTGCCTTTGCACTTTGCTGTGGATCCTGGAGAAGACTGGGAATGGGGCAGAGATGACAATGATAATGTGATGCTAGCAAGGTAGAATTTCATTATGCACATTTGTCTGTTTAAGGAATGTTCTAGGTTCAAAACAATTTGCAGTATGCATTTTGCAATCTGGATTGAATGTAACAATGTGATTTTAAGAGGTTATTTTGTGTCCTTTACATAAACATCAACATTTCCCAGCTTTTTGAGGCACTCGTCACTTTCTCTGCTCCACTGTCAAGTTGTACAATCCTCTCTGTACAAGAGTTCCACCTAGTTTAATGAATTGATGAATTGGAAATTCATTATTTAAAAAGGCCCGTGCTCATGCATTTTTGAGATGCTGTCAGTTACCACAGACAATAATTCAGACTCAGATTGAAAAAAGAATAAGTATAAATTGTTTACAGTAATAACCTTGCATGTTAACTCTGAAGGGAGACTTTCTGGAGAGTTTTAAAGCAGAAATGCGTAGCTCATATTTTTGTTAAAATTATATGAGTAATTTCTCCACGCTATTTATGCGTGTTTATACAGTCTGAGGGATGAGTCAAAATTATTTCCTGTGGTCATCAACCGCATGTCACAAATGCCATCCATAGATTTTCACTTGTTTTAAACCTGGAACATTCCTGTAATTGCTGTGTCTTGTGCATATACCAGATTTGCTCAGAAAAATGTTTTCAAAGTATTCAGGTTATTTTGACTATGTAGTGCAAAATTACTCAGCTCTGACTTATTTACAGCAGAGTTCAGTAATGTCTGACCATAATGACGGCATTAGCCCTGTGGAGCCTGCTGAGACTGTGCGATGTTGGCCAACACTCAAGATTAGCAGCTCTCCTTCTTTAATGCAGATTATCACTAAATGCTTGCTATGAATGGAACCGAGAAGCTCTCAAATCGCTCAGGGTTGCATCCGTAGTTCCCTCTTATTTCCATAGCTTTCAGATTTGTCACTATTTGATATCCTGAAATAATTAAATTGTCTTTATCGGTTCCCCCGTATTTTCATGGAACATGCTCTTTATTTCTCATGCTCATTATGTCTCATTAGGGTTTTTTTTTTTTTTTTTCAAAGGCATTTTAAGTGCCACTTATAAGTGAATATCAGCGCTCTGACCTGCCTCTTGTTTGGTTTCAGTGTAACCTTATCTCTGGAGGCCAAGCTCCATCTGCTGCATAGCTACATGACTGTCACCTGGCTTCCTCTACCCTGTGAGGTACAGGTGAGCTTCTTGCTTTGTTTGACATGATAAGAATAATTTAACTGGTTTAGTGTAAACTATCAGCCAAAAACCTTTGGTAAATTTGCTCTGACAACAAAAATTTACATCCAAAGCATTTTTATTTCTAACACAAAAAAAAAACACTTTAACTGCCAAACTGGCATAGAGTGTTTTCTGGTCACTTCCCATTTCCATGATATCTAAATATAAACTTGTCTGGAAAAAACTATTACGTTATAATTCTTTTGATTTGTGGTGTGCTCTTTATTTGTATTCCAGCTAAATCATGTATGCAAATAATGTTTTTTTTGCATCCACAGCAGGCCCCATTGGCCCAACCAGAGTCACCTACGGCATCTGCAGGAGAGGATGCCCGCACCCCGCCAGACTCTGGAGAGTCTGATAAGGAGTCCGTCAGCAGTAGTTCCAATGGCAATGGAGACAGCAGCACTACTGGAACCAGTGGGACAACAGGCAAAACGAGTGGTGGATCTTCCAGCTCCTCTAGCTCATCCAGTAACAGTTCAACAGAGACAACCAGCACAATTGGAAAGGAGAAGGGGAAGAAAGACAAAGAAAAGGATAAGGACAAGAAACGTGCAGACTCCGTTGCCAACAAGCTGGGTAGCTTTGGCAAGAGCTTGGGCAGTAAGCTGAAAAAGAATGTGGGAGGCCTGATGACGGGGAAGAATACAATTGGAACTGGACCCAAACAGGAGGGTCAAGAGAAGAAGAAAGGCTCTCTGAGAGGTCGTAAGGACAGCTCTCCCTCTATTCAAACCGGCTCTGAGGACTCTGGGAAAGGTTCACCCTCCTCAACCAGTGAGCGGCAAAATGGAAGCTATTCTTCAGAAAGTGACCCTTTTAAGTACAGCTCTGATGTGAAAGTGAGTCTTAGCATCCTCCGATCCGCTATGCAAGGCGAAAGGAAGTACATCTTTGCTGCGGTACTCACTACAAGCAACCGGCAGCCATTTCAGGAGGAAATGATCCAACGCTACATGGTTGATGCCGAGGAGCGCTTCCGTGCTGAACAGGAACAAAGAAGGGAAGCTGAACGGAAAGCGACAGGAGGTCTTGCAACAACTGCTGGGTCCCAACTGAAAAAGGATGGGCCTGAGCTGAGTTACCGAAGTTTTGAAAGCAAAGAGGAAGTTACTGATAACTCGCCTCCTACCTTTAATGCTTTGAAGTCATCGTCTTTCAGCCCGGTGATGTACTCTGGTGTGGTCCCAATCCCTAGGGCCACCTTCATTGACCATTCTCCTACCCCACCCACGCAGCATCTCCATATGCATGGTTATTTGGATACACGACGGCAGCTGGCAGGAGGTTCACCGTCTTCTTACCCAGGCCTACCATCCTATGCTACTTTGCCCCGACACTGCCCCCTAGCACAGGGCCCGCCCCATACCCAGTACCACCCACCCTCCACCAGCTTGGGCAGCCCATCCCGTATCATCAGCCCCTGCCTGACGTCTTTTCCCCAAGACCATGACCCAATTGATTACCAAACCGAGCCTGCTGGAGGCTACAGGAATGGCTTACGGGACGCACGATTCACTTTGGACAGTCGCAACGGGCCGATGCCCGTGCGGCATTACTCTTTAGGCAGTGCAGGGGGCCTCGCCAACCTGCAGTCCAGCAGATGCCGAACGCCTACCTGCAATTACTACGGCCACCCCGAGACGGGCAATTACTGCTCATACTGCTACCGAGAGGAGCTGAAGAGACGGGAAACAGAGCCGGCCATACATAGGTTTTGAATGGACAATCTCTGTTCAGTTTCTCTCCTTTAGGACTCATTGGAGCCCACCGTGTGAGCCACAACATATCCTGTTTGTGTGGATCGTTGTTTAAGTTCGGCCTTTCTGAACCAGGTTACTGAGACTCGGCGTCCACAATGAGTGGCCATTGTGGGAATGGAACTGCTGTTGTGTTACATTTGCTGTGGCTCATAGGCAGGAGCTTTAAGCTCCTCCCACATTTGCTTGATGTGGTCATCCTCTTTCCTGTCTCCTTATCTCCTCCTAGTGGTGAGAATGTAGAGCACAGGCAATAGACATTGGAGCACAGTGTGCTGTTGCATCACACGAACACGCCACATACCCCAAAATACATGTTAAGCACAACCAGAAAATCCGTATTTATATCCGCTGCATTTGTATACATAATAATAGACATTTCAAGTAGGATTTCAGCTGCAATCAATGTAAGACTTGCCATATTGCGAGTGTAAGGCAAAAACACACGGTTAACTTCAAGTGAGTGTTATCTGCATTGGACCAACGCTACAATAATTTAACTTGTATCCTTTTGAAGCCATACTCGACTGGCTTAAATTAGCTAAAATGGTGCTTTCTCGCTTCTAAGATGTTCAACTTATGGAGCTGAACCTTGATAGCCAAAGGTTTTGCTTTGGGTCTTCACATGTCCATATTAAAAAATCACAGTCGTTTATGTTCTATTAAGTGTTTCTAGAACATTTAAAAGTGCAAAACCTTTCAAATTTGTGCAAAAAAGGAAGGAAATCAGATGTCATTTTTCAGAAATGGTTCTAGGTGGTAAATGGTAAATGAGTTCTAGGTGCTCGCAGGTCTTCAAACGTTACTGCCCCAAATGATAATGATCGATCACCCCCAAAGCAGACCAAATCAAGCACTTTTCTAATGTCCAGAGGTTGTGCGTGTGGGTTCCAGACATGACAATGAATAGACTGTTATGTTGCTGTGCTTCTAGTCTGGCATTTTGCTTTGTTCTGGAGGTAGAGCTTGCAGTTCCACTGGCGTGGACTGCAGAGGTCAGGGTTCGGCTGTAGGTGCCACTGTTGTGTGCAAGCTCACTTGTTTCCTAGTTGCCTTTTCAGTCTTCGTTCAGGGGGATTGTTGATCAGAATTTCTACTTTTGTTTGATTTTGGGTACGCAGTGCTGATTATAGTGTTTTTGATATTTGTGGATGTAGAGGGATGCTAGCAGATCTCTCAGTATCTCAATTATGCAATGCACCATGCATCGAGATTTTATCTTTTCAAAATACTATTACACTGTTAACATACAGTAAAGCCTCCGATAAAGCCAGCCAGAAATGAAAATACTGTTATTAACTCAGCCTTGCACGCTATTCCAAACCTGTATGACAGGCAAATACAAAAGTAGATTGTTCTTTTCCATACAAAAAAAAGTAAATGTGGACCATACAACTTGTGCAGTATATTTCAAGTAGCCATGCAATAACTTAAGGTAAGTAATGGACCAGAAGTCATTATTCACAGAAAGTCTTCCGCTCCATTTCACCTACTGGCAAATTTGACGCCAGTGATGACAAACAGCATTTGGTTCTTGTGTCTTAACTGAGCACAACAAGCCAAAGTGAATGTGCGAATGAGATTTTGAGAGCTACGTTGGAGAGCAAAACTGCTAATATAGCACACATGCACTCAGTTTTCTGTGAATCTGAGTCTAGATGTGTCAAACCAGTCTGTTACATGTCATTTACTTGTTGCTAATTGTGCTCTGTTAAAATATTTAGTTACAGAGTTTTGACTTTGCACAGCAGAGCAAATGTCCCCATTTCATTTCATTATATGGAAAAGAGCAGACTGGACGTTCTGCTAAACATCCCATTTTGTGTTTGACAGCAGAAAGAAAGTCATACAGGTTCAGAACGAAATGAGGGTGAGGAAATGATGACAGGTTCTTCATTTTGGGCTGAACTGTCCCTTTACCTTCTCATTGCTCATGTGAAATGGGCTCTATAGTACTGTAAGAGGATGTTGCTGCTGTGATCATGTTCATTTGATGTGGTTAAGTGTTAGTGTGCTGCATTGGTGGTAGATGTAGAGCTGGTGTTGTAGTCACAGCGAACTCCCTTCCGCTTCTCAAACACTCAATACAGATGTAATCAGTCGTATGCAAATATTTGTATAACTGTGTCAGCTCAAGGCCACAAAGTTCCCACATTTGCATTACTGATTTGCACAATTAAATATATGCTAGGTTAGTATCCTAACAAAATTTTCACATACCTCTTCTCTTCATCTGGTATCTCCCATGTGTTTGAAGCTGTACATTCTCAAATTAGATTCATTTACATTTTGATGCACTAAATTGTCTATTGTCTAAGACAGAGTAAAGTTTTGCAGCAAAGTAAGAACCTGAAGGTTTGCTAGATTGATTTTTCACCCAAAAGACAGCAAGATTTTTGACATGTTATTCACTCTTATAACCAATAGATGGCACACATGTTTAGGTTTCTGTTACTCTCATCTTTGTCTGAATCGATGCATCCCTAGTGACCCTTTGAGACAGATGACACACATTTTCATAGTGTAAATAAGGGACACAGAGTATGCTGCTGCTGCTTTTGGATTCAGATTCTCTTTTTTTTTTTTCCCCAGTCAAGCACATTTGAATAGAAGCAAACAATTAACTTATTTTTACCATATACCATTTACCCAGATTTCCACTCTGCTAAGTCGCAAAAAGGAATTCAGCGTGTGAGCTTGTCTTTGTGTGTGTGTGCGTCTGGTAAATTGTGCTTTTGCAAACCTATTGCAGCTTCAAGGCACAAACAAGAGGAAGTTGTCAGTGAAATAACAGCTACTCTCTGTAGGAGTTTATGTTCTCCTTCCAATGTACTCATCGCTTGCGTTTAACGGATCCAGTTATTTAACGAATGGTCAGCCACCCCGAGCATTGGACTTCAATAAGAGTGCAGACATTTTTGTATTAAGAAATAAAAATGTATAAATACGTTCAAGTTATTTTTGTAAATCAAACGCAGTTTTACAGTGTTTTTTAAAGATAAGAATGTATGCTGTAGGAGTTGAAGTCAGCTGAATTGGTGGTGGAGTCAGTATTCTGGAGCGTATGGCGAGAAGCCTCTTAAATCTGTGTGTTTCTTGTGAACAAACTAATTTCTCCATCAGTGATCTGACAAGGTATGATTTGAAAATATATATTTGTAGTAAGATTTTTCAAAAGTTTGGGATGTTTAGTTCTGAAACTAGGATGTTCTTTCTTACGTGGCTAGTTGTCAAGCAGACGGGCCTCCTGAAGTTTCTTAATTTCGATTTCTATTTTAAAGCAATTATGATACTTAATCACATTTTGAGTACATTTTTTAATGATTGTGGGTGTGTCCACCATCAGTTTTCACACACTAAATTCTCTTATTTAATACAGTGGGCTTTTTGTTATGATATAGCTTACTATTTTTATATGGTATGTTTTCATGGATGTGACAGAGCTACAGTCATCAGCATTCTACAATTTGCATGAGACTGAAACTGTTGCATGTACAGAACTGGCAGATGCAATTTATCTAATCATATTTGTGCATTACTTCAGGCTAATTGGGCAATTTGTGTTTGTTTTCAGCTGTTTTTTACCTTTCTCCTTGTTTGAAAGGTGACCCCAGGTTGTGTGACAGTGCAATCTAGGAGGAAAGAACATCTGATTTTTATGTTAGTTTTATTTTATTTTTTAATTTATTTTATTTTTGCACTGTTTTAATAAAATTCTCATTGTATTTAAACAGTTGTTTGTATTGATTTTATTTTGCACCCTCATTCTACATTTAACTATGAAGTCTTTGTAATAACAAACATCTTGTATTTGTACAGTGACACAAGAGGTTTCAGCTGCATATACAAGGTTCCCACTGTCATGGAAAACCTGAGAATTTTACAATTAAAGAGACAGTTGAGCCAAATATGAAAATTTGCTGAAAATTTACTCGCCCCCATGCCATCCAAAATGAAGATGAGTTTTTCTTCATCAGAACAGATTTGGAGAAATTTAGCTTTCCATCACTTGCTCACCAATGGATCCTCTGCAGTGAATGAGTGCCGTCAGAATGAGAGTCCAAACAGCTGATAAAAACATCACGGTAATCTCCAGTCCATAAATTGATGTGAAAAGATGTGTTTATAAATAATTATGAAGAAACAAACTCATCTATATATTGGATGGCCTGAAAGTGAGTAAATGTATTTATTTGTTTATTCGTAAATTTTCAATTGTGGTGAACTATTCTTGTAATAAGGTCTTATTTTGAAAAAAAAAAAGAATAGACATTTCTGAATATACATTTTAATGCTCTGCTCTAAAATATTTCTTTGGCTAGACACTGCTCTTTTGCCATCTCAATGATTTATTTTCCAGTAATCCCAGTATGGAAGTGTGGAAACCTAAATTAACCAGAACAAAAACTAGTTGTAAGCAAGCATGCAGCTTGTTTTCTTCAGCTAAATGCAGCTGACGTCTGTCCTTCCAGTTTCGGAAAGAACATAAGTCACTGCAAGGTAAAGTCATTTAATTTTCATTTCCAGCAAGCACTGTCTGCCATTTAAGACTGCTATTTATCACAGCATGTGATCTTTGCCCTGTGTCAGGATAAAGATCACACAGGGTAAAGCATAAATAAAGTTTACTCTCCTTAATGCGAATTTATATTAGATTGCTTAAGGCTTATTTTGCTTTCACTTACTATATAATGTGAGAAATTGCCAGATTAGTGCTGCAGATGTTTGTATTATTTATGAGGCATTTTTTGGGCTATTGCTTGAGTTCTTTTGCTCTAATAAATTCAAAGTGAGAGTCTGATGAATTAGTAATAGCAACACTGATATCTTTGGGATCAGTTTTCATTTGTTTTTGCTTTGCAGGTATCCATTTCAAGTGGAAGCCTTTTCCACACTTTGCACACTGCATCATGTTCATATCCACCTAAACGCTGATGCTGGACACATCGTAATCTAAAGACGCCTGTCTGAGTCTCTCTGCTGTTTGGAAGTTACTGTGAAATGGTTCTTTGATACTGCAGTGACCAGGTAATGACTCGAGGGTGTCAAAAACTATGGGAATGTCAAGTGTGTTCGCTCATCTGTGAAGTGTTATGTGAATATGTTTGAGCAGAAGAGAATTGCATGCAACAGTCTGAATTGTTGTGAACAAATTTATGAATATTGACTAGCATTTTGCACATTGATAAAGCATCAAATGAGATTTAACTACCTAATGTTCATTGCTTGGCAGGCGATTTATTTTTAGCATGCAAAACTTTTCCAAGAATTACTTGTACACACACACACACACACACACA